ATCTTTTCGGAATATCAACAGATGTCACGTCACGTCAAATGATGAAAAACACCGCCTATACTATTTCATTATTACTTCATTGATATTTGCAATATTTGTAAAGAGAAACAAGTCACGATGTCGATCAAAAACGAACATTTCGAATCACCAAAAAAGCAGTTCTGTGGTTTTTTATCAACTATAATTATATCTGTCGATTCCTATCATAAATTCACATGAATCCAGTTGAAATGAGAGAGTTATCAGCTAGGTTCAAATTGAAAATTCATTCGAACGTTCTTGTTTCATATTTTTTAATGAACCGATCAAAGTTTGTCGTGCGAATTGAAGAGCAGTTCTTATGACATTATGTCTCATCTTCCTGAATCTGATGAAATTTTTCTAGAAAACTGATCACAAAATGAGCTTTTTCTATATAACAAGAGAACATGAATTTTTCGGATCTGATTTTTTTATAATATGCCATCTTGAATAAAGAAACGTCACTGCCTAATTGGGATGAATCATATCTGAGATGTCGGCCATTGAAATCATAATATGGCGATTTCACATAATATCTTCGTTATTGAAGGCCAACAGAATCTTTCATACATGGAATCTCAACTTGTATTGTTTTCCTCTACTCACCATTTGGCTATGTGAGTCTCTTCATGAATTGCCCTGTATATATCAAATTTTTCCTATAGTTTCTAATAGCATCTTCCCCATATTGGTCAATATACAGCATTACAGCAAACTGATGAATATATTCAATAACAATATAATCCTTGTATCCTTGTGGAAATTCCTATTTCACTCAAAAGTCGAGAAATATGGTGAATTGATCAAGATAATTTTGATGAAATCATCGTGAGAAAAAGAACAGCAGTTTCGCATTCATGCTATAAATTGACCCTTCTAACTCTCATACAGAAGAGCAGCTTTGAAAATTCACGGCAACTTATCTCAAAGCATCTAAAAACCCTTCACATTTCTATATTTCGCTCTCGAATAGTCTTGGATATCCCCTCGTATGTCTTCTTCGCGGTAATAAGATGCGCCTATCGAACGAGCGAGGCGGAGATATTTAGTGAGAAAGACGGAGTCCGTTCTGGAATTTCAAATATTTACCTCGTCTTCTACCCCTTGATAGAGGAGAAACTGAAGTATCATCGATATCATCCACTTAACGCTTCGTTGCCGATATACGGAGAGTTGGAGTTTTTTTCCTTTATTCTTTTTTGTTATTTTAGTTTTCGAAATATTCAGATCAAACTTTTACGTATCAAGGTTAACATCATATGCGGAGTGATTATCAGAATCGACAGACGAAGACAAATTTAAATTTATCTTCTAGGGTGATGAAATAAAACAGCGATTGTATGATTTTCTTGTTATGTTGGAGTAGCAATGCTGTAAATATTTCATAGAAACTACTACAAAGGAGGTCAAACCATCAGCATCAAATTGACAAAGCCTTTTAAGAGCCACTCACGAATCTATAATATTCACCATCATTATTCAGAGGGCTGTTATAAATAGTTCAGGTGCTCTGTAGGTAGATGCTACTTATTTATTGTAACATTGTGCGAACGGAATCGCCAATTAGTTGATTCATGTTCATGCAAACTAATCGCATCTTGGTCTATTAATCGAGTTAATGTATCAGGTCGGAGCACTGTGAGACTTAATTAATTACCTCTGATTCCGGTTGAATCTGAATGGAGACACCACCACTAACATACAGACTGACTGACAATGACAAGAAACGCCCCAAAAAGCCATAGCCGCATTATTTATCGTCCAATTCTGATGGACAAAAAACCAAATGGAAAGACTCCGCAAATACCATGAGGTGGCATGAACTAATGAGTTTTTTTGTGATCTCAACTAGTCATTGGATGGTATTCGTTATATAAGAGTTCGGACACAGCTGAACTTTTGTCCTTTTCTATTCTCTATATTACAATTGTTTGAGTGAATAAAAGAATAAGACATAATAATATATGCGGCTCTTTGTCTTTTCAATTTCCCTAGTAGCGCCTGATTGTCAAATACGATTTAAGAGGTTAGACTTTCTGTCAAATCAATCATTGTCGTAGATGGTGAATGGAAATGAGGTATAAACACCCACTTCAATTTATACAGTGTCATTCATAAAGTCGGCATCATATGGGAAAAACTTTTATTAATGACTTATTTTGGAATTCGAGTTGGACGTTGAGTTTTGATTCAAAAAAGATGAAAAATGACCTACTCAATCAGGGTCACGTGACTTTCGCTACATGTCAAAAGTGACATTTTTTCAAATTAATTGCTGAAAGTAGGCTTATTTGTTCGAATATCGAAAAAGTTTACTTGAAAAAGTTGTTTCTATTTCAATTTTACACATGCTTCTCGAATTTGATCTTTTTATTGCAACTTTTAGATTTTGATTTTTTTTACATCTTTCGAAATTTCTGTGATATTTGAAGAATTGTTAATTCTACGTAACTACTTCATACCAGTAGCTTCTTCATGCTACTTCCTTTCAATTACTTATTATCACTGATTATGGACAGAAATATGATTTTCTTCAGAAAATGATAATACCCGTTTCCAAATTCTGTTATGTTTGATGCAAAGTTGATATATCGTCAAGCATTTAGAAACGAAATTCATTCAAACTGATCTTTTCAGTACTGAAAAAATGAATTTAAACGAATTTAGTTTCTAAATGCTTGACTCAAACATAACAGAATTTTGATGTTATGTTTGCGTCAAACATAACAGAATTTTGAAGCAAATCATATTTTTGTCGATAATTAGTGATAATTACTAATTGAAAGTTAGTAGCATGATGAAGCTACTGGTATGAAGTAGTTTTATCGAATTTTACAATTTTTTTAATATTACAGAAATTTTGAAATTTTTTAAAAAATATCGAAATCTAAAAAATGTAATAGAAAGATGAAATCCGAGTTACATTTGTAAAATTCAAATAGAAACAACTTTTTCGATATTCGAACAAATAAGCCTACTTTCAGCGATTAATTTGAAAAAATGTCACTTTTGACAAGTAGCGAAAGTCACGTGACCCCGATTGAGTAGGCCATTTTTCATCTTTTTTTAAGCAAAACTCAACGTCCAACTCGAATTTCAAAATAAGTCATTAATAAAAGTTTTTCCCATATGATGCCGACTTATATTATTTATGAATGACACTGTATAGCGATACACTTTCCGCAGAAAAATATAGTTATAAAGACGAGAATAATTCACATGACAACATATTGATTTGACAAAATAGACACCTATATGGATATTGCTAGATCTCATAACTGAGAGATCCAGGATGAACAGAGTTGTCCCATGGTTGTCCCCATTGTCTATATATTTCGAAGGGTATAACATGAAGTTATAGTCAGGTTGTAGCCATCTAGCACTCGAATCTATAGTAGGTATTGAATTTATCAATAACGACTTGTCATATGCTGTCATGCATAGTCATGGCTATTAGATTTAAATTAGAATTGAGAAGAAGTGCATTCAAGGTGACAATAAGTTTATAATTCAGTTTCACAGGACTGAAATGGCTTTGTTGATAGTGATATTAAGCTACTTTTGATGTAATTAGATTGAGAATAATATTTTCAGTGGCGTCACAGTGGATGAACTACGTCCTTATTTCTTGTGTTACTTTTGCATCTCGTTTAGTTTCTGTGAAAATTAAAATCTCATCTGACTGTAAATTTCCATTTAGGTGCTCTCAAGATAGCAACTATAAGATGACTCAATAACAAAATAATGATAATAATAAGAATCATAATATATAATATGAACAATATGATAATCCATAACCATACTCATATATTTTGTTGTTCTATTCAAACAAATGATCCGTTCGAAAATAATTCATTGCTACATCGGAATAAGAAAACTTGAATATTGGTTCAAAGATATTTTGTCGATGGAATATGGAATTGATAATGTTCTGTTGATTCGATTGAACTACATTCTTGATTAGAACAAGCTGCTTGTTTGAGATGATAGCATGTAGCTGTTTGATTCAACGAAAATTTGCTCAGTCCAACAAAAATAATTCAAGGATGAATAATTTCTTGATGTAACAAATCCTTTTTTTCCGTGTGTGTAGTTAGGAACTTTCCGTCTTCATATCAGCAATTTGATTGATTGAAAGTGATAGTGCTGCTATCAAACCCCGAAACAGCCTACTCTGCATATGTGGAGTCGGATAACTGCTCATGAACTGTGAAGTCATCACTGCCTTTGAGAAATTTCGATAACGGTCGTATCAAGCAACCTTCTATATAGGGGATGCCCGAAGGGAAACGGAGGATAAATTACCCACAGACACCAATTCTGAATGCAAATTTCGCAAGGGATAATTACATTCTATGTGAAAATTAATGGTGATATTGGATACGGCTGTGACCATATCCTAATCAAACACGGTTTCTGGTACTTACCTACCTATAGGCTTTCAACTATACCTGTCCAAGTTCAAACTGAGACTAATCAACTTATCAACCATCTGAGGCAACACAATAAAAAAAACAACAAATACTTCCGGCAATACTTCTGTTTCTAGGGAGATCATAGGTCAGAATTATTAGGGTAAATCAATTCGACGAATTGATGTGAACGATGTTGTTTCTAATGGAATACTTCACCTTTCGAGGATTTACTGCAGAGCAAATTTGTTACCAATCATTTCCAACCAATCAGATGCTTCATTTCGACATTGTTACTATATGGTAACTAGCAAATTTTTTGAAAATGTTCCATCCACATGCGCATCTAGACGTACAATTAATGAGTGGAAATTTTCTGGCATATGAAAGCTATCACATAATTGAACAAAATTGAAATAATTTTGAGAATATCTCTTATTTTCCGGAAACCTAGTGAGAAAATCATATGAATTCATTTATTTTTATATAATAATGTATCTGATACTATAAATTTTATTTCACTAGAGGATACAGGGAGAGTAAATATACACTTAATGTTTTCTTTTTCAATATATTTCAGGTATAAAATCTTCTTACCAAATCCCCCACGTGCATGAATGAATTGCGAGAAATTTATTGTCTCGTAAATGAATTTTTGAAAAAAACTATCATTCATCGCTTCGCAACTGATGATATCAATTCACAAACAATTCATGTACTCAAAAAATTTCCAGCCATAACTCATTCTCTAGGGGGATTATGAATGATAATTTTTCATATTTTTAAATCGGTTCACCCTGTGAAGGAAATTGTCTTAACATTTCGAGAAACTGGTTGACCTATTGAGTTATAGTATATCCAATATCAATTGCAGAATATCCCGCACTGTGCGGCGTCGGCGTGTTTGAAGTTTCCTTTGAAGTGACTGCAGATGCGGCACAAGATTCTGCAATTGTTTTTGGATAAACTATACCAAGGTAAATCGACATTGACAAATGAACCACGTTTAATATTTCTCCTAAGATCATTGATCTTGACTTGAAACGAATCAATTCTTTTTTAGTTTCAAATTATTTGATCGACGGCAACAAACTTTCCTAACGACTAAATACAATAAAGTCAAAACGACAAGAAACATTATCATTAACATGGCCATAACATCTACCAGGTAATATTTGTACCATGGCATATCAACTGCAGCAACTCTGAGGTGAGGAGCACCTTTGAATCTTGCTACAAATTCGGTCCAGTAGACTGCAAGGTCCATAGGCTTCATAGGTCTATCATGTAGAAACACAGATCTCTTCCTAGCATTCTTGAGATATCTATTGATGAAATCAAACAACACTTCAATATACAGGGTGTTATTCAAGTAGGTGGCAAAACTTCAAGGGGCGATTAATTGGGTGATTCTAGAAATTGTTGTTTTTCATGATTACCCCGTATAAGCTTACATGATGGCAGAATTGAGTCTGGTTGGTTACTGGAGAAGTCTAAAAATTTCAGAATGATACTCAATGGGGTTATTGGGTTTTTTAAGGGCACCAATACAGTAAAATTTGGAATCAACTAGCTTTCATTATTTCGTCAGAAACTAAATAATATACAAAAATCTGATGAGGGACAAGGAAGTTCTATTCTTGATTGTTTGATCTGATGAAAATAAATAACTTAGAAGAACATATGCCATAGAGGGTACCTCATTTACCATAAATATTGAAAATCACCCATTGAAGTTTGACCACATACTGAAATGACACCCTGTATACATTAGTTTTCAACACCCTGGATACTGATATATAGGTATCATATAGATATAATATGAATGATGTGATGATTTCTTTGAATCAAATTGAAATACACACCGGGTGGCTACGGAAATATTGCCTACGGAATATCTCAGTTATATTGTATGAAGTAGGTTTCTGAAATTTGGAGCGTCGATATAATGACATAAGAGCTAGAATTTGAGCATATTGACATGTCGAAGTTAACTTCCGGTCTGACCGAAACCCAGATAGCACACACTCGCCTAAGGTCATCCTCAATGTGTCGCCAAACGCCTGGAGAGGACGTTCTATTTTCTACAACCTAAGAACATCATCAGGCGTAAATTTAGCGCTGTAATTGTCCTAAATGAGTTCTTTCAGTGACAGCCTGAGGATGTAAAGAATTTCGTGCCTACGGACGTCTTCAGATGACATTCCATGAAATAACGTGTCATCGAAGACAAAAGGAAGAAAAAGAAGAACTAGAGTTGAGGTTATGTCTCATGATAGTCATGATTTGTTCAAGATACATCATAATATATTAATGATTATATCAAAATCATTAGAGTATTCATTGAATACCTTCATCAAATTCCTATTTCACAAAATGATTGCGAGAAGAACTTCTTGTACAGAATTAAAAGATATAACAATAACAAAAGGATGATAATCTCTGTTGATGACATTTCTCTCAGGTAGCAAGAAACAATGGTGAGTAAATACTAAATAGAATCATTGATAGTACCTGACATGAAATATTAATACATTCATATACATTATTTATTGTTTCAGGAGGTTATTGAGAACACAAACTAGATGATATCATCATAGCAAACATGTTTTATTCCAAGATAGCTTTGCTTCTTCGGAATCTATAAAATATTGTATGGAAGCTTGAACTTTCAGTATGAATTCAATAAAGGTAGGTACCTGAATCAAATCATTGATATAGTAGGTACTGGACATGAAATGTTAATAGGTTAATTATTTGTTTCAGATGAAGTTATTGAGAACACAAGATTGATGATGTCATCAGAGCAGAGATGTTTCATTCCAAGATATTTTGGCTTCTTCGAAATCTATGTGAGATTGCGTATGCATGTTTGCACTTTCAGTATATTCAATAAAGGTAGGTACCTAAATCAAATCATTGATATAGTAGGGACTGGAACATGAAATATTAATAGGTACATTATTTGTTTCAGGAGGTTATTGATAACACAAAATGATGATATCTGAGCAGAGATATTTTATTCCAAGATATTTTGGCTTCTTTGGAAATTATGAAAGATTGTACATATGCAGACTTGAACTTTCAGTAGATTCAATAATGGTTGGTACCTATAACTACATGAATCATATCATTGATAGTAAGTACTGGACATGAAATATTAATACATTGTTTGTTTCAGAAGGTTATGCAAAACACAAACCTGATGATACTTTCATTCCAAGATAGATTTGCTTCTTCAGAATCTATAAAATATTGCATGAAGGCTTCAACTTCCAGTTGATTATTCTGCATCAGGAATGTCCAGAGTTCAGAAATCAAAAACAACATGGAGAAATATAACTATCAATAGGCAATAACTTCTAGTAGTGCTCAACAAGAAGCTGAAATACATTTCTTTGAAAGGGAAATTGAAATTTTTCAGAATAAGTTATAAATAATAGAATGTAGGTTTTTCTTTTGGTTTTTCATTTGAACCTATTATAAATAGAGGGAAATTTTGCAAATATCATGAGATCCATATTATTTTGAAGAAATTATCATTCGCATAATACAAGGTGAGTCAATAGTGTGTTATCCTTGTATATTAGCCAAACCATCAGATAAATAGAGAAAATTCAAGTACAACAGTAATAGGGTTTCATGAGAACTTTCACATTAAATTGTTTTCATATATATCTGTAGGGTGTTCGAATTCCAAGATATATTGACTGATGATTGTTTTTTTCCAAATGGGACACCCTGTATACTATTGCATTTTTAGGTTCTCCCTGAAGAGCTGATTCCATCAATGTATCACACTTGGGGTCTAGTGGGAATGATTACAGAGATATAGGGTGTTCAAAAATAAGATTTCTCAATTTTAGGATTTTTTTTGTGGAAACTATTCAATATTGGTCAAAACGGCTCACATATCCTTATAAACTTTCGATTTACTATCTACTGACATTCAATCGGAACAAATAGAGGGTGGGTTAACATTCAGAATACTGATCAGCTTATTGTATCTGTTCCAAATAAGTATCAGTAGATAGCTAATCAAAAGATATGACAGGAACATGTGAGCCGTTTTGACCATTAATGAATAGTTTCGACACAAAAAATCCTACATTTGAAGAATCTCAATTGTCAACACCCTATATCTCTGTAATAATTCCCACTAGACACCAAGTGTGATGCATTGATGGAATCAACTCTTTAGGGAAAACTCAAAAATGCAATAATATACAAGGTGTTCCATTGAAAAAAACCAATCATCAACCGATATCTTGGAATTCGAACACCCTATAGATATGAAAACAACTTTAGGTGATTGTTCTTATGAAACCCTATTATTTCTGTTGTACTTGAATTTTCATTTTATATATCTGACGGTTTGGCTAATATCGGAGGAGAACACACTATAGTGACTCATTCTGTATACGAATAATATTCTCCCATAAATCTTGAACCTCCTTGAAACATCATCAAAAACCACCTCAAGATGTTACCATGATGTCCTGAGGTTGTCTCAAAAGATTTTATAGGGATGTTCTGAGACGTTATTAGTATGTAGAGAATGGTAACAGGAGGACGTCTTGAGAATGTCCTCAGGCTCGCTCTCGACGTCCTGAGGACATGATTGTGAACGCCTCAGAAGGGCCTCAAAAGGAATTTGTGCTATCTGGGAAGTAACATAAACTTTCTTATTTTGAATGGAAACCCTATTTTTTTTCTTTTCGCTTTATTCAGAATTCAATTCCCTTTCTAATGACATATCACAAGTTGATATCTAACCAGAAACTAGATCAGAAAAAAATCATTATTAAAATTCACCGAGTAGGCCGTGGAAGCAAAATGAAAGCCAAAAATTGAAAAATTGGCTATGAAAACCATACGTCACTTGATAACAGTTGCTACTACTGTGATATTTCATTTTCATTCGTCGGCGTTATAAAAAGCCGCCAAAAAAAATATTGGAAAAATTGGGAAAAAAACAATACTCTGTAGGCCCATAACTTAAATAGGAACATACAACTTTTTCTTGCCTGTAATATTCAGCATAACCATTCCTTTCTAATGATATGATACAAAGTAATTTTTTCGAAATTAAATACCAAAAAATCCAATTATTATTCTACTCGGCGAATTTCAATAATAATTTCTTTCTGATCTGGTTTTTGGTTAGATACCAACTCGTGATATGTCATCAGGAAGGGAATTGAATGCTGAATAAAGCGAAAAGAAAAAAAAAAGGTTTCCATTTAAAATAAGAAAGTTGATGTTACTTCCGGTCAGACCGGAAGTTAACTTCGACATGTCAATATGCTCAAATTCTAGCTCTTATATCGACGCTCCAAATTTCACAAACCTACTTCATACAATAACTGAGATATTCCGTAGGCAATACTTCCGTAGCCACCCGGTATATTAAAACCATGTCGAAATGAGTTGTTCCAGAAGCAGCTATACATCGCTTACATTTGAGTATATTGTTGAAGAAATGTTGTGTTCGTTATAGAATCAATTACTCACTCTGGATTCTTCAGGGCTTCATTCAATGCCGAGCTGAACAAATCTTTAGTCAAATCTTGGAAGTGAAGGGAAACTCCATATCCAGCATCCACTGCCTTAGCCGCATTGAGCTTCTGATCTCCAAAAACTGGTAATGCCAAAATTGGTACCCCATGGTAGATTGTTTCCGTTGTACTAAGTATTCCTCCATGTGTTATGAATAATTTCACGTTCGGATGTGCTGTTCAGAAAATAAAATTGATATTCAAGAGGTCGAAATTGATAACAAGCTCAAACAAATTCGAATAATGTGAAGAGTTGAAATATTCGCCCAAAATAGATGATTAATTGAATGATGACATGTTCCACCTCGTGTTCCACTATTTCATGATGATATGAAAAATATAAGAAGTGGATAGGCCTTGGCTGACCATTCAATCTATTCAGGAAATATCGGAAATCAAGTGAAATTATTAGAAATCGGCCATACATTTTTATTAATCACATTTTCTGACGTTATTTAAGAGTTCCAAGAGAATTTTGAGCCTCGATTCATCACAGTACAATAGAAAATATATCTCATCATTCACTTACCTAAAACATCCATTTGCGGAAACCATTTCCTGATCACAATGTTACCAGTTTTACCCGGTAAATCTTCCTCATCCCATTTCCAGAGTACTGTTTCTTTCAACCCACCCAGAACATCTATCAACGCCTGTTTTGTTTCAGATTTCATTTGCGAAGGAATTATGTTTGATCCCATACTGAAGAAAATGACTCCATCTTTAGCACCATCTAAGATCTTCTGGAGATCCACTGGCAGCTTTTTGGGAGGCTGAACATGATATCCACCAATGTTGATCATATTAGGGACGAGTGGGACAGATTGCGCAAAGCTCTCGTGTGAATTCAAAAAGAACAGCGATACGTTGTAAGATAGAGTTTCAACACTTGGACACCCTGGGAAATGCCTCTTCACCATTTCATCTTGAGCAGGGTATACAATGAAGTATCGAGTGAGATCATGGAAGAGCTTGACTAATGAGTTTTTAGTTCTTTGCCATAGCGTCATGGAACTGCCGTATTCCACAAATGTATCGGGGATGTAGGATGGTGGGGATGGATTTCCAGATATGGAGTTTAACCAAGCGGTTGCTCCCATGGTGCTGAACATGATCAAAGGGGCGTCAAAGTGCCATGCAAGAGCCTTCAATCCATCATTGATAAATTGCTCGATGATGACGACATCAAATTTTTCATTGGAATGTAGGAGTCGTTGAAGTGCTGGATCTTCCAACGTTTTATTAGTGGCATCGTTCCCGAGATAGTTCACGAACAACGTTTCTAGGAATACACCGAATTCCGCCATATCGAAGAAACGGACATTGTTATCATCTGAAGAAGAATGAAAGAAAAAATCGATTAGAAACATTGTGAGAATAACAGTGGTTGAAGATCGATGTTATATCTTCAAAGAAGTGAATAAATTAATGTACAAAGAAAGTTGCCCTTATTCCATGTAAATTTAAACTGTCAATTGATAGTGATATTTATTTTCCCAAATCTGAAACATTCAATTGAGGTATTCGATTTAAGTCGTAGAGTCGATACAATATCACATAACCTCACATTTCGATTCGGTTTTACAAGGTGTTATCAAGCAGCTATGGAGCCAAATTATAAAGAGTGATATTGTGAGTTCACCTGAACATATGACCAGAATCGCTCCGTTCTCTAGATAAATGTTTGATGAATCGGTTTTCTGGATTCTGTTGTCAATCTTGTTCAAATTTGAAAATACTGTTTGAGGTAGTAGAGGGCTAATTATGTCGTGATGAAATTGATGAAAGATCAAGTTTTCGAAAATAGTTGAGAATTGTGCCTTTCCGGATGTAAGTTTAGGTGAACATCTTAGATAGAAGTATTCAAAAAATCATCCTTTGAATGGATGCATATCAGAAAAGCAAAAAAAATAACAAACATCATTAACGAGTATCCACCAAGCAGAATGTTTGTTAACCATTGGGTAGTTAAATACCATTTGATTACAAGTTTTAATACTGATGTTTGTGTTTTGATAATCATGATATAATAAACTTATATCAGGGTCAATGATGGAAGCAATTGCGATGGAATTGATTATACACTCACAAGACTATTCGTGACTAAGTTAATCAAAATGTTATCTAATACATAAAGTCAATGCCAAATTCGAAATCCCATTATCTGAGAATCATTATATTAAGAAGATCGGTTATCTATAATTATGTTTTTCGAGAGAGGAACACACACTCCGTATACGAGATATCAATGAGGAATTTATTAAAGTTAATCAAAATGTTATCGAATAAAAAAAGTCAATGCCAAATTCGAAATCTCATTATCTGAGAATCATTATATTAGGAAGATCGGATTTCCGTAGCTATTTTTTTTTTCGAGAGAAAAACACACTCCGTATCCGAGATGTCAATATGGAATTTATATAACGCAAATCTATTTGCCACATCTTTCGAACCTTACGGTCATTTTTTATTTATCCCTTGAGGCATATGAAAGGAGATTCCTATACTGTTCGTGGAACATGGTACGCTCTATAGACAAACGAGTTTTGGTAGAGTGTTGTTCGACAAATTTCAAGGTTGACGACGAATGGATTTGCTATCTGGGCCTGTCGATTTCGTCTGACTGGTATTGTTGATGATGGAATTATAGCAGAGATTTCTGAGGAACACTTCCCGTGGAAGTATCTATAGAAAAGTGAAAGGTCGCCGACTTTTCCACGGAGTTTCAATGAGGTCAAAGAAATATTGACTCATGGCTCAGGAACAAGGAAAGTGGATGGTAAAGCCAACAAAGTGACAACTAGAAAATGTTTGTTACAAGTGAACTAGAAGTTTGAATTTACATTTTAAGAAGTACGATAGTTGTTATGCTGAAGGTTGATTTGCTACAATCCTTCTGTTTCAGAAAACTATCATCATTATTTTTTTCATCGCATTGTAGGTCCCATTATAAAAAGATGACTCTCAGTTATGTGGGTGCTAATTGCCTCTAGTTAGTTGCGCATTAGGTATTTGTTGATATTTCTATACATAGATTCTAGATGATTTAGTTTGAGTTGTGACAATATTACTCGTTCTCAAATTTTTAAGAGTATATCTTGAATAAAGGCTCTCTAAATGTAAAAACTCCACAACTCCACACCAAATATGTTTCGCTAACACAGTAGCTTTGTCAAGTGATAAGCTACTGTGTGAAACATGTTGTGTGTTCAAGAATTTTGTGGAAATCTTATCGTTTGTAAAGTTTTTACATTTACCATGGATTTCCATCAAGTAACGGCCGAGTCAATTCGAAAAAAAGACTGTAACTTCAATTTCTCTACGACTATCGTATTCTACATTGATTACATATAGGTTAGTAATTGATGAATGAAGATGATTTCAAGACACCGTGGATCCCAACTCATTATTCAACGGCACTCGACCAAATAACAGATTCAGAATTTTCAGGATCCACAGCAACTGAAAAGGTTAGACTAATGAAAAACCTGCAAATCTACCAAACAAATTTCTCAAGAAGGCTCTGCTTCATTTTACGGGTCACGTCACGGCTTGACTTTCGCGAATGTCAGATTGACTTATAGCGTCTTTTAAGTTTTAACTCGAGTTTTAACTTTGATATCTGGAGGATATAATGGAGGCTTGCCGTTCCAAAGAAATGTACTCTATGAATATTGAAGATATTCAAGATCTTGGATCTGAATGGATGATAACTATTCCTGAGACCAAAACAAAAATTGTAAGGAGGTTCACGGCTCGTTTCGGAATCATATCCTCGGGAATAATAGCTATATCATTATACGCTCGTTGAAGAATATACTATTCCTCATGTTTGAAATTATTAATGCTCTCTTGATTATGAAAAGACCGGATCAGCAGTTCCTTGCTTACTTTTGAGTTCACTGATGAGTGAAAGAACGACATTCCTGAGTGATCCATTTCCAGGCACCTTCTTGTCCTCGAAAGGGCTGACCAAGGTCACATCATGTCCTGCTTCTGCCAGTCCATCGGCCAGAGTACTACCGAGTCGAAAATGACTGAACGCAGGCATCGGGAATACCACTAAGATCTTGTATCCGTACACGTCACATATTAGTTCGATGAAGACAATCAGATATACAAATCTCATTTTATACGTTTGTCTACTAACTCTTGATAACGAATTATTGATTTACTGATTCTGTTGCAGCATCGCTTAGACCTGTTATCGTGTTATCCGTTCAAGTTGAATGACACTACCTTACTATGAGTATCATCGTTACAACATCACTATTAACTGGTCACGATCAGCATAATGGATGTGTGACCAGTGTTATTTCGGGAATTAAACTGCTCGACACTTGAAATACAAAATAAATATTTTTAGAATCTAATTTGAAGATGAACTACCTTTAGTAGCTTATTGCCACCACCGTTTTTCATTTTATTTTCAATCTCCATTGCTCATTGCTATATCATGATTCTTAATAATGTACAGTGTGTCCAGTTTTCGATGCTTTTGCATGATATCTCAGTTATCTTTGGAGATAGAACCTTGCGGTTTTCGCGATCCTGTGCTACTTTTTCGTGAAACTGAAGATGGCCTGATCAGATTTTGCAGGACTGTTTCCGTTTATAAGATACAGGGCGATTTTGAAAATTTATACTTTTTGGGCCCCCTCTATATCTACGAAGTTTATCAGCGAAAATGTCAAATTAAAATCTCAACCCATAGAGAATTTTATGCAGAATCCAGTGGCGCACAGAAGTTTTTTTTTCCAGGTGTGGTTTTGAAGATACGACTCAAACTTATGATTTTTTTAAATTGAACACCCTGTATTTCACAAGCTCATTAAATTCCTTAATATTTTCCCTTCGAAATGATATATGATGTATGAATATAACATTTCCAAAAATGTTCGAAAATCACTAAAACATTGAATTTTAATAGTGGGCTATGGGTTTTTCGAGAGATTTTCATATAACGAAATTTACAATTGAAGGAATATTTCCTTTGATTGTTCCATGGAGGGCGAAAAAACAATTTCAACACCAACTAACTTGCAATACACAAAACTTAGATACCTGATATCCACAAATATACATATAGTAATAAAAATTTATAATGTAGAATAAGCACCTGATTGAATATTTACTAAAACAATTGGATTTCGAAATTATTCAGTGATTTATTCATTGAATTGTTTGAATTGATGTCCATTTTTCATCACAAACTTTCTCAATACATATCAATCATTGAAAGATGTCTTTGTAATTCCTGGAAAACTGCCTCTGTTGTTGCACAAAGTTCTTCAAGTATGTTGGGCCACTGACTGTATTAAGAAGTATTAAGAAAGTTTGTCAACTGATGTATGTTAGGGAAAATGGATATCAATGTCAATGAACATGTCAATGAATAAGTTACTGAATAATTCCAGAATTCAATTGTTCTGTTCAATATTTAATCAGGTGCTTATTCTACATTATAAACTTTTTATTACTATACTATTTGTCGCTATCAGGTACCCAAGTTCAGTGTTTTGTTAATTAATGAGTGTTGATATTGGTTTTGACCTCTTCATGGAAAAATTTGAAGAAATATTTCTTCAATTGGAACGTTTTTTATAAGAAAAATCCATAACCAACTATCAAAATTCATTATTTTAGTGATTTTGAGCAATTTTGAAAATTTTATATTCATTCGTTATATATCATTTTGAAGACAAGAAAATATGGAATTCAATGAGCTCATGAAATACAGGCTGTTTCATTAAAAAAATCATAAGTTTGAGTCGTATCTCCAAAACCATACCCCGAAAAAAAAATTCAAGTGCGCCACTGGATTATGCGTGAAATTCTCTATGTGATAAGATTTTGATTCGAAATTTTCAAAATCGCCCTGTATCTCATAAACGGAAACAGTCTTGCAAAATCTGATTAGGCCATCTTGAGTTTCACAAAAAAGTGGCACAGGACTGCGGAAACCGCAAGGTTCTATCTCCAAAGATAACTGAGATATCAGGCAAAAGCATCGAAAACTGGACACACTGTACAGTATTTGGAAAATCGTAGATGATGAAATTCTCGAAATTGTCATGCTTTATGCTAAAATATGATTTTTTCTCAATATACAAGTTCATTATAAATTCTTGTATTTTCTTATTTATCAGTTCAGGAATAGATCATAGAGGCAATTACGGTATAATCAATATATCAAATATATAGAGGAATATGTCGATAATATAATATACCATGGTAAATCTTTTATAATATATGATCGCGGGATATGTGGGTGTAGAAACTTGTAAATTTGGGGTTTTAAATCTAAGTAACAGCTTTTTTTGATATTATGTAACTCAATGAGCTTTCTGTTTTCGGTCACGTGACATCAGATTAAAAATTTGTAATGATGGGACAACATGTATCAATTTCAACAAACTAACGATCACACTTCTTGTTTGAAACTACGGCTCGGTGGTCGAGAGCGTTAAGGCGCTGAGTTCGTATGGGGACTCCCACCGAGACCTAGGTTCGAATCCTAGTTAGGCCATGGATGTTTGTGTTTGTATGTATATCTAACCCCGCACAAGTTTCGACTTATGGGGCGTTTGTTCCCAGCGCTGGGACTAACGAGGTAGGTATGCAATTGCGGAAATATCAATTCAGGAACTACAGGTACTTCAATATCCTCTTTATTATTTTAAAGTTATGTGTCCACATTTTTTGATAGAATATGAAAGATTAATATACTGTGGCTTTGTTTTGAACATCACAAAGAATATATAAGGACTGCCCACATATACAGGGTGATAACCAGGTGACACAAAATTCGAATAATTTGGCAGTAATTTTTTTTTATCACTTGGAGCGCACGAAAGGGAATCCCTATAATGTTCAAAGATCATCGTGCGTTCCTAGGGAGGATAGGGACAGGAGGTAGGTATTGGAATTTTTTTTTTGAACTTTTGGAGATTATAATTATGTTGTTGGGAATACTTCCACAGGCAATGCATTCCAGAGCCTAGCCGTTCTATGGAGGAGTCTTGATAAAGTGCTGTTCGACATCTTTCGAGGTTGACAACGAAAGGATGTGCTGACTGGGCTTGTCTAGTTCATCTGATTGGTATTGCTAGTGAAGGGATTGCCCATGTAAGACCTTTGTTGTAATCGCGTCGTGTGAAGAAGGATACTATATGAGATACCTGTAGTTGTTAAGATGATCGTTTTAGGCCACAAGTGGTTTGTTGGAATCATTGCATCGGGAGGAACATATAAATGCCAAAATATACAGGTTGTCTTATTGATAATTTTTACGTTGAGCTCATTATTGGTTAACATGATATCAAAAAAGCTGCACAGATTGTTCAAATATTCAGCCCTAAAGTTAGAATTTACTACTAACTTTGTAGCTCCGAGATATTTTCTGTCTGAATCGACGTGGGACACCCTGTACCATTGTCCAAATATTTCCGGAAAGGTTCTGAGCAATCAGAGGGCAAATATCAAGGTCCAAACTAGTTTTACACTAACTTATACATTCATATCAACCATCAGTATAACACTGAAAATCTCGCACACTTGTTCGAAATGCTGATAACAAGAAATTTCTTCTCCTTCTTCTTCTTCGAAGCACTGGTGGGCGGGTGAACCCCCTGCACGTGGGCCTCCTTATTCGGGCCCATTGTGCGCCCACATGTTACGACATTCAGCTGGGTATGCCGACTTCCTTGGAGAAGTTCAGCAGCTTCCTCAGCTGAATCTCTTTTACGTCCTCTGGCCTCAAAATTATGTTGCCAAGGACAGCCCTCCTCTGATGCGTCAGTGCTGGACACTCAGTGAGGACATGTGATGACTTTTCGTCATCTTCCAGGCACCATCTGCAAAGGGGGTCATCCTTGATCCCAATAAGCTCTAGGTGCCTATTGAGGTGGTTGTGCCCCGTTAGGAGCCCCACTACCATTTTAAGGTTTCGCCTGTTTAGGAATAAAACCTCTTTTGCGAGCCTCTTCGAAGGTTCCTTTATGTGGAGCTTCGATTGTCTCATTCCTGGTGTGTCCTGCCATATTTTGAGGAATTGCTTTTGCAGCTGTTCCTCTATAGAGGAGGACAGAAATTTACTATTAATGTTATCAATATTTCTCTCTATATACGCTTCCTTGACAGCGAGTATTGCAGCTATCCCGTCATTTCTGTACAAAAGTAGAGAATATGTCACAAGATCGAATGTTTTCAATCCCTTCGAAATGTTGCACAATCTAGTACGTTTTATCTTGTGCCTGGAGTGTAGTATATATCTATAATATCACATTGATAAAAAATTTTCATTTTCATAAACTAAGTGTTGAGCAGTTTATACCGAGATGACCTTGAGGTAAAGTAATTATACCCTAGGTAGGCTGGAATGCTTTGATAGGACTAGCTTTTCTCTGAATATGTCCCATTATTTCCAACAATCTCGTCAGGTATAATTATAGTTTTTATATTCTCTATTGTTCGGTCAATTACAATGATAACATTGTGAAGTTGTGGAATCAGATTGACAAGAGTGCATTTGAAATTTTACCATCATTTTGACCTTGGAATAAATCCCAGTGGATGCTTTTTCACTCTATCATTGTTTCAAAAGTAGAAATTGACAAGTCCTGTTTGATTAACGATCCGTCTTCCTAAACTTTTTACACTGCTGGAAAGAGTAGGTTTAGTGATCAGTCATCTCATTATATATAATTTTATTTGTTGATCAATATTCAATGGTCTGAAGGCATATCTACTAATTATATTGATTTCAATTGATGGTTTCATGGGCATATCCCCCACCTCCATTGAAGTACCATGAGTACGTGAGAAATGATCTTTCTCTCTCGCAAAACTAATGGGACCTGAACCACCTGAACTAGGTCGCAATATTGTGTAATCAGTTCATGTGTTCTGAACTTTAATCCCTCTGAGGAGGTCTACGACGGTACCGTCTCCAAGATATCGACCATTCGGCGTGGGGAAGAAGACATCATCGGTAAGTGGCCATGTTAGAACGCTCTGTGATTTGACGAATTTATCTGATGACAATTTCCAAAATACAGTCCACTTTTATTACAAACAAAACAGGTAGGTATATTTTTTATTCTACAAATATTTCTACGCCTATATATATTGGTTTTACGTTAATGACAGAATGATAAATATAAATAGGTACTTTGCGAGTCTGACAGTCACCTTTGTTGAAACCAGATTCCATACCTGAGGGATTGACCAGGAGGGTATACATATCATATTGGTATTGTTA